AACATTAGTATTCCTTGATCCGTCCCCTCTGCTCACTCCATTTTCCCTGAAGACCCTAGCAAGTGCCTTTTTTGGAGTCAGAGTAGAAATGGAGGCATTGGCATCTCAGAAGGCCAGTAGAAGGAAGTCCTCTTTATTCTCTCTTCAATTGCTTCAGTGTTCATATGTAGAATCTTATGATCATCAATTCTGCCAGCTATGTGTGGAACATCTAATTTGTTTGGGAATGGTGAGAATGAGAAATGAAATTGAGTCTTCCTCTTCTCTTTGTTTCAGATATTTTCCTGCATAATACCACAGTGTTTCCAGGAATCCCTGCAAAAATTACTTCATTACCTCTTCTATACACGGTATTTACAGCTCATAGTTTAAATAATATCCTCATTTCTGTTTTTTTTTTTAATGATGGGGAGCATGTGTATTTTTGTACCTGAGAGGGAAAGGCACTCTCAGTGGGGTCTCATCATGCCACCATCCCCTTTCCCTGGCATCCCAGCTCCTCGGAATCCTGCGTGCCCTTGCACATGGAACTCATGGCCGATTGTGTGGCTTCCAGCACTGCAGTCCAGTACACTACTGTGCTTCCTGGGTTGGCCCATTTTTATTATGAATTGTTACTGTCTTTTAGCTTCAAGAAGCTCTTCGTGGTTTCTAGCATGGTAAGGGGAAGGATGCTGGAAAGGATCAACAGTCCTGGGTTTGGAACCTCCATAATCTGCTCTTTGTCTCTGGGGTTTTGACATGTCTACAAGATATTTTTTAAGTGGGAAAATATTGACATGTATTTCTATGAAATCTATGTGAAGTGTTTCACATGTCTCTTGTTTAGTTCTATCTTATCTCAAGTCCAAAGGAAGTGTCTAGCCTTTCATTAGTTTGGTTACTGTTGTATAGACTCTTCCTAGAGAAGCCCCTGTGAACAAGCCCTATGCCTATTTTTCTTTCAGAAATCATACCTTCATTATCCTGCACCTGGTCGTACAAGGGATGGTTTATACTGAATACACCTGGGAAATATTTGGCTACTGTCAGGAGCTGGAGTTCTCCTTGTATTACCTTATTCTGCCCTACCTGCTCCTGGCTATAAACCTGAGTTTTTTCACCCTGACCTGTGTAGCCAATCCTGGTAAGTTGAGGCTAGTAGTACGCAGTTTAGTGACAGCTCGATTGTCTTCCTGAAAGTGCTGCAAGCAAGGAGTGGTCTCTTAAGGACTTTACAAAACATTTGATATGTAATATTTTCATCATCTAGATTTCAGTTTTGATTGTTTTAATAATTTTGTTGTTGTTGACCCATGGTTAATTAGAACTGCTGAAAATTTTCCCACATACTTTTAAAAATGTATTTTTTTGATATTTTTGTTTAATTGTGTTCTACAGAGAGCTTGTGATTTGTATGATCACTATTTCCTTCCAGAATTTTATGGATTCTTGTATTATACCCAAGCATATGATCAGATTTTGTAAATGTTCCATCGCCTTGAAAAGAGTATGTATTTTTTTTTCCCCAGAGGTTTTTGCTATAGGGCGCGCGTGCTCGCCAGAAAGATAGAGAGACAGAGAGATAGAAAGCAGGAAATCACCACCCAGGGGGGATGGCCACGCTGCAATCCTTTCTCCTCCAGTCTCTTCTTGGAATCTTGGGCATGCATGCACACGTGCCTGGCATGAGTTTCAGCCACCGGGTCCAGGACTTGAACTGCGGTCGGCTACATAGGAATTCAGCGACATAGCCATTACGCTAACTGCTGGTCCCAAGAGTATGTTTTTTCTAGTTCTTGCGTATAAGAACCATGTAAGTCCACTACATCAAGTTTAATTATATTCAAATCTCTGTTTTATCTATACTAATTTTTTACAAAGAGTTATGTATTAACTTTATTTATTCATTCATTTTAATTTGACCAGAGAGAGAAAGAGAGAGAGAGAGAGAGAGAGAGATTGAGAGAGAGAGAAAGGGAGGGAGGGAAAGTGAGAAAGCAAGCCACCAGGTCTGGGACTCGAACCGTGGTTGACCATGTGGGAGTGTCCATTGCCTTAACCACTACACCACCTGCTGGTCCCCTCTATACTAATTTTTTGTTGTTTTATCAGTTACTGAGAGCAGTATGTTATATTACTCTTGATGGTAGATTTGACAGTGTGTGTGTGATTTTTTTTTTTTTATGTCATCTTAATTTATTTTTTTCAAGAGAGCAAGCAAGAGAGAGTGAGAATGTATTGATGCCATGACCTATTCCCAGCCTTAAGCCAGCCCCGGAACACTGGCAGGTGTTTGCTACAATAATTTTTTCCCTCCATTTCTTCTTCTGGCCAGGAATCTGGACATTCATGCATACACAGTTGGTATGCTTTTCAAGCCACTCTAGGACTAGAACTACAGTCAGCCACGTGGAATCCACCATCCTTAGCCACTAGGCCACAGGGGCAACCCTATATGTGGATTCCTTTTTTCTTTTAAAGAATTATTTAATTTTATTTATTATTATTATTTTAATTCATCAGGGAGACAGAGAGAGGAAAAGTGAGAAGGCAAGTCTCCAGGTCAAAGACCCAAACCATGGTTGGCCATGTGGACATCTAGTGCCTTAACTACCATGCCACCTGCTGGCCCCCCTATTATGTATATTCTAGTTAATTACATTCAAGATTTGGTAAATCAAATCTTCTTTCTCATAGGAGGCCTCGTTTTTTTTTAAATCCTTTATTTATTTCTTCCATGAGAGACAGACAGAGAGACAGAGAGAGATACATCACTCCTAACAGAGTATTAACACTGCAGTCCACCTTCAGCCTCAGCCAGCCCTAGATTGTGGACTTACATGCCTGGCGTACTTAGGGAGGTGTCTGGATGAGAACCTAGAGCCTTTCCACATGGGTCAGCCTTACAGAGCATCACATTTTACTGCTGCAGTACCATTAGCACATCCTCACCTCCACTTTTTTTTTTTTTTGGAGAGGTTTTTGCTATAGGGCGCATGGGCTTGTCAAAGAGACAGAGAGAGATAGACAGAAAGCGAGAAATCACCCCGTAGGGGGGATGGCCATGCCGCAATCCCTTCTCCATTCTCCTCTCGGGATCTTGGGCACGCACGCACATGCGCCTGGCGTGAGTTTAAGCCACTGGGTCCGGGACTCGAATCGTGGTCAGCTACATGGGAGTCCAGCAACATAGCCATTATGCTAACTGCTGGTCCCTCTCCCCTACTTTTTAATGAGAGAAGTAAGAGGGCAGGACAGAGAGAGAGAGACTAAGGTTTTTTTTGACTGAGTCTCACCATGTTGAGATCCTCCTGTCTCAGTCTTTCAGTGAACTAGGACCTCAGGCATGTACCATTGCACCTGACTTGTTTAGATTTGACTGGCAACCAAATCTGGGCCTATAGTGAGTCTCACCAATAACGCTCTTCATTCTCAAGTCCACTTTGTCTGATATATTATTATACTCTTTTGTTTTGATAGCATTTGCCCTTTTTTTCCCCATCCTTTTACATTTAGACGTTTCCATCCTTAAAGCACCAATTAAACTTTTTCAAGTTTATGAATTCATTAACCAATGAATGGATAATTTGATAAACCCATTCAATGCAATGTTATTCAGCCAACAAAATGAATGACGTACAGATTCATGCTTCAACATAGATGAACCTTGAAAACATGTTGAGTGAAAAAAGCCAGATACAAAAGGTTATATGTTATATGATTCCATTTATTTAAAGTATCTAGAATAGGCAAATTCATTAAGACAGACAGTAGCTTAGTGGTTTCCAAAGCCTAGTGCCATTAGAGAGAAATAGGGAGTAACTGCTACATGGTTGACTACATGGGAATCCAGCGACATAGCCATTATGCTAACTGCTGGTCCCAAGAAAAGGCTTTTCTAGGTCTGAAATCTACACATACAATATCCCACAGAAACATTTCTTGGGCAGTACGTCCCACCATATGACAAAGGAAGGGCCACTATGCTCAAGGCTTAGGGTCATCTACTATACAAGTACATAAGACATTTTCTCAGTCACAGGTTTCTTTTGGGGATGATGAAAATGTTCTAAAATTGATTGTGATGATTGCACCACTCTGGGAATATACTAGAACTATTGAACTGTGCATTTTAAATGGGAGAATTAGGTTTATGAATTATATCTCAAAGAAGCATAAAAATGAATTACCAGAAATATTAAATACAGCAGTTTTAGTTGTGTTGTATTGGGACAGGTTTTGTGATCATTCGTCCACCATACTGCTTGAAACTGACATTTGTCCTTACTTTTTTCAGGCACCATAACAAAAGCAAATGAATTATTATTTCTTCAAATTTATGAATTTGATGAAATGATGTTTCCAAAGAATGTCAAGTGCCCCACTTGTGATTTAAGGAAACCAGCTCGATCCAAGCACTGCAGTAAGTGTGGCTCCTATGGCTCTAGCTGTAACCTCCACAGTGCACTAGTCTTTGCCTAGAAGAGAATGTGTTGTGAATCTAAAAGCAGAGCTGTCTGATCCCCAGATGAGGGAGTGGCCACTACTGGGAGAGGCTAGGAGAGGCTAGATAGTGGTTTCTTTCATATGACTGAGGGAATGTCTTATGTATTTGTATAGTAGATGACCCTTAGCCTTGGGCATAGTGGCCCTTCCTTTGTCATATGGTGGGACGTACTGCCCAAGAAATGTTTCTGTGGGATATTGTATGTGTAGATTTCAGACCTAGAAAAGCCTTTTCTTAGGACCAGCAGTTAGCATAATGGCTATGTCGCTGGATTCCCATGTAGTCAACCACAGTTCGAGTCCCAGACCCGGTAGCTTAAACTCACGCCAGGCGTGTGTGCATGTGTGCCCAAGATCCAGAGAGGAGAAAGGAGGAGAAGGGATTGCGGTGTGGCCATCCCCCCTGGGGGGTGATTTCTCGATTTCTGTCTCTCTGTCTCTGTCTGTCTGGTGAGTGCACATGCCCTATAGCAAAAATCTCTTTTTCTTTTAGGGCGTACCCAAGACTATAGACTAACAGAAATATCACGTGAGCTGCATATCTACTAGGCTCTGAAGTTCTAAAAGCTTGTTGACCACAGCTGCCATTTTTCCATACTCAAATTGCCAGCAGTCAGTTTATAAAACTCCCAGTAGGTGTACACAGTATCCTTGTGTCACCAAGGACCAACCAGGACCAATTCATTGTTTCTCTACAGGTGTATGTAACTGGTGTGTGCACCGTTTTGACCATCACTGTGTTTGGGTGAACAACTGCATTGGGGCATGGAATACCAGGTACTTCCTCATCTACCTCTTCACGTTGACAGCCTCAGCTGCCACCATGGCCATTGTGAGCACTGCGTTTCTAGTCCACTTGGCGGTGGTGTCTGATCTATACCAAGAGATTTATATCGATGACTTCGGACGCTTCCAGGTTATGGACACGGTCTTTCTTATTCAGGTAATTATGCTGTGGGCTGTAGGTTTCTAACTTTAGGTTTCAGAATTGGAAACAGGACATTTATTTTCCCAGTGAAATCATAGAGCTTGTATTTTTTATTTGTGTGTGTGTGTGGTATTTTAGACAGAATTTCTTTGTATCATGATCCTTCTGCCTTACCCTCCTGAGTAGCTGGGATTACAGATATTAGCTACCATGCCCATCTTTTAAAATGTTTTTTGGGGGGCTGGTCGGTGGTTAGGGGCACTGGACTCCCATGTGGCCGACCACAGTTTGAATCTCCTATGGCTCTAGCTGTAACCTCCACAGTGCACTAGTCTTTGCCTTGAAGAGAATGTGTTGTGAATCTAAAAGCAGAGCTGTCTGATCCCCAGATGAGGGAGTGGCCACTACTGGGAGAGGCTAAGAGGGGCTAAG